TTTTCAGGTGGGGAGGGGGAGTAGAACTCCTTAGCATCAGAACATGGTAATAATAATATAGGAAATACTAATGATCTGATGGTCATTTTGAAAAATCCTTTCTTAGTGAGCACCAAGAAGCCAAGAGGAACATACATGGGAAATTTGAAGTTTGTAGGCTTTACAGTTCTGGAGATTTTGTGATGATGCGTGAGTGGCATTTCGCCAAAGTCCCCTTTAGCTTTACTTTTATCTACATCTAATAAATATGGTATATATATATATATGTGTGTGTGTGTGTGTGTGTGTGTGTGTATAACTGGTGTAGCAGTTAAAGGCATTAAGCTAAAAACCATGAAACTGTGAACTCTAGTTATTTCTTAGGCATGGTGCCAGTTTGACAGCTTTAGATGAATCACTGTCTATCTACTCTAGGAAGAAGATAATGGCCAACCAAGAAAATTGGGTAAATTTGCCCAAGTAATAATCAGGAGTCAAATCTGACTTGAAAGTGTGTATGCATATGAGCATTTGAGCTCGTGTGCACACACACACACCATGCATTAGAAGCAGGAAAAACAATAATTGAATTGGGCTTGGTTTCTGGGGTTCCTGGAAATGTACCAAAAGCCATAGCTCAGAATGATAGCTGCTGCTGAAGTAATGGTTTACTTCAGTGGATACAAGACAATTTATATAAAATCATGCTATTAAGGTTGTGTTCTTTTCTGGCAAAAATAATTGGAATTTTTTGCAGGCATAGACGTCTTCCAATAGTAGTATAAGGGTTTTAGGTTGTTGTGATAGTGATGATATAATCTAGAAAAATGTTAGTTTAAATTTCATGTTGATTAATCATCATTAATTGAGAATATTATTGAAGACATACTATGTTAAACAGGCAAGTTAAATTTTCTGTAAACTTTCAGTCCAGATTAGTTTAAAAGAAAAAGTTTTAAGTCTAATTAAATGCAGTCTCAAATTTCATCAACATTTGTATAATGTGAGTTATTTTCAATACTACTATATTTGCTATGGTTCCATAGAGAATATTTTTCTAAAAGTATCTGCATTTGTATATCTTGATAAAAACTATTAAATTGCATTTCAAAATTCCAGTAAAATTGGATAGTACATCATATAAAGCTGAATAGTATTTTACTATTTTTAAATGATTGCTATAAAACTATAGTAATTATCCAAATATGTGCACTAAACAAATAGCAAACTCAGGTTAATTCATCAATTTTTTTTTAATATTTTAGGTGCTCCATGAAGAAACTGCAATACCAGGAACTGATCTGAAATTGTCATACTTAAGCTCCCGAGCGGCGGGGTATAAATCTGTACTTAAGATCACAATGACACAGTCTGTGATACCATTTAATTTAATGAAAGTTCATCTCATGGTGGCAGTAGTAGGAAGACTTTTCCAAAAATGGTTCCCTGCATCCCCAAATTTGGCTTATACATTTATATGGGATAAAACTGATGCATATAATCAAAAGGTCTATGGTTTATCTGAAGCTGTTGGTAGGTTTTGTTTGTTATCAGGTTCTTTTGAATACGCTAATATTATGTAGCAAAAATGATATTCAATAGTATAATTCTTGGTGGATACATTCTATAGAAAAAAACAAAAGTATGCTGTAAGTTAAATACTATTGCAGTCTGATATACACATCAAATATAATTTTTATGTACAAATACAGAAATATGAATGGAATAATCATATTAATTTTGTAACTATTGTATTGATTGTGATAAAATATTATTTTTACATTGGGGAAAGTAATAGTTAGAAACAACTGCATTGCGTGGATCATTTGTAACGCTAACTTACACGAAGAAACATACATTTGTTTTTGCAGAAAAAGCCCTATGTGGCCATGGTGTTTTTCAAAATTGCCCGAAATTTGCTATTCAGCATCTGATACTTTACAACACATGGAGCCATAAACTTATTTCAAGGGAACATCAGTATATACGAGAGCTTCTAATTTTAATTATTCGGTACATTAATTAAATCTTCAAATACTGAAAAATACCGAAAAAATTGCTAATTAAATGTCCAGACCTGAAAATAAGCAAACCCAAGATGTCTGTATATGCAAATAAAGTTATTTACATATTTATTTATTCATTCTATTTATACCATTCCTTCCCTCCAGGAACTGACAGTAGACTATATAATACTTCCTTCTCCAGTGTTCTTATAATAATGATGGTGTGATAAGTTGGGCTGAACAATTGTGAAACTCCAAAATGTCCAATGAATATCCATAGCAGGATTCTTCTAGACCTAATCCATCATTTTAATTAATATAGCACACATATAATGGATATTCACAACATCCATTTCACAATGGATGTGAAAAAAGTTTTATTTAAAGTTATTCTAGTATAAAATTATGTTGAGGTCTTTCTGAAATAAGACACAGGAGATGACAAACAGTAGAAATGTGCACCCGTATTGAATGTATTCTCAATTACCTAAATAAAATTTATATGATCATAGTTACCTCTGTTGGTACACCAAATCAGTGGATGGCATATACAATTTTAAAAACTACATAATTCACTACCAATTAATATTGACACAATTTTCAGAGGACTGACAGTTATAGAATTACAAGAAAACCAACTAAATGTTTGATAGTTTCAAGCACAATTACTTTGGTCAGAACTTTTAGGATCTGTTTTATCATGTGGTTAAATGCAGCACTGCAGGCTACTGCTAGATCAGCAGGTCAGCGGTTCAAATCTCACCGGCTCAGGGTTGACTCAGCCTTCCATCCTTCCGAGGTGGGTAAAATGAGGACCCAGATTGTTGGGGGCAATATGCTGACTCTCTGTAAACCGCTTAGAGAGGGCTGAAAGCCCTATGAAGCGGTATATAAGTCTACTGCTATTGCTATATTGCTATTGCTATGTGCAGTGTCAGGGTTCTGACCAATGCCCTAATTAAATCATGAGCCTTCAAATCCAACTTCAGCCATGGAAACTTACTGGGTGAGTTTAGGCCAGAAGTTCACAGCACAATTTAACTCATAAAATGGTGGGAAAATAGCAGAGGATATGCTACCTTGAGTTCATGGAGGAACGGTGGAATATACATCTAGCAAATGGATAAATATTATATTCCGTAATACTTTTCCATGCAAAATATATTTGTTTTCATATAATCTTTTTGTTATAGTTTTTATTAAATTTGATTAATGAGAATAGTAATTGTGATCTTTGTATCTATGAATGATTAACTGTTATTTCTTGATTGGATTCTGAATCAAGGCTCAGTTCCCTTTTCAAATGCCAGCCTTCATATCTTATTTTAAAAGAAATCATTTAATTTTTTGAATTTAATTTCAAAATCTTTAATTTCAGAATTTGTGGGTACCACATTGCCAGCTTTTTTTTTAATTTATATTTTTCTATATTATATTGTTAGTGCTTTAATGGATATTTATTTAAATGTCAAGATTTAAAGATTAAAATTAATCAGATAAAATAGTTAAAAGCCTTTTTACAGTCACTCTATATTAATAACGCTGTAAAATGAAAATAAATTAATCATGACTATCTTCTATTGAATTGCATTAGTTTATAGTAAAATAATTATTTTATTATTTATTTCAGTATCTGTTGGTTATGAATATGAATCTTGTTTGGATCTAACATTGTGGGAAAAACGTACAGCCATTCTACAAGGTTATGAACTGGATGCCTCCAACATGGGTGGATGGACACTGGACAAACACCACGTATTAGATGTTCAAAATGGTGAGTATTATGAATCTTATAATGTTATGCAGTACATCTTAATTGAAAAACATAAAACCCCAGATTCCAAGTCTGAACAAAAGTTTATAGGCATTGTCTTGGAGAATACTGTTATTTTTTTCCAATAATGTGATTAATTCATTACACAGAAGCATAAATTCAAAAATTACAATTCTTCTTTATTTTAAAATTCAAATTTACAAACATACTTTAACTCACATAAACACCATTACAATATTCCCTTTTTTGTAGTACATAATATGAAAATACTGTATTGGTATTTTCTTCCTCTCCAAATCAATTAATTTCCATGTAATATAGCAGTAAACTTTCACTCTTATCTGATTCTGTCTCTCCAAACATATACTATGCAATGTATACAAACAAACAAACTGTATGTGAAAGAGGGGGGGGGGGAGAGAGAAAGTGAAATAAATCATAAGAGGTTGGTAAAGGAATATCTCCTCCTTAAGAAAATATCTGTGTGAGCACTAAAACTAGACACCCGTTTGGTGGCAAATAATCAAATAGAAATATGCTGATTTCATAGGGAAATAAGTAAAATGTTGGCCCTTTCTCAAGAGATTGTAATGCACCGTTAACCATGAAACAGTATTAAAAAAAGAAGCCACCCAGTCAATGTGGTAATTCATGTAAGGCTAAAGAAATCAGTTACCGAGAACCTATTCATGCAATGTTTTTTTAAGTATATGTATGTTCATTTAATTATTTTTCTATTATTTTGTGTTTGTAAATCAACTTCAGTGCTTAGAGATGTACTTAGGAGGCAGTTGGCAAATAATGACTTTTGAAAGTGTAATTGAAAAAATGAAGTGACTAGGATGAATGAGCTGGAAAAATGTATTAGCTTAGAGCAAATACCATGGCAGGTTTTTATATGGATATCTTGAATGACTGCAATAGTCCAATGTTCATCTTTTCCTTGTTTATATTAAAAGACAGATGTGAGGGAACAATTTTTCAGTGTAATTAGGAAATGTGTAAATCAGATGGTATAGTGCTAACCTCTAGGAAGCATGATTAAATTTATAGAGCTTATGTATTGAAGTGACATTGCAGGTTTCCTGATTGTCATAAAGGATGTGATCATAGAAGTAGGGTTTCAGATTCCAGTAGGGCACTAAATTCCTAAGTTCTTATGACGAATTGAATTCCATATAGAGTAATGATACAATCTTCTGTATAGTCTTCTGGTAGATAGGGAGGGAGGGGAAAGATGATAGATGATAGATAGATGATAGATAGATGATAGATAGATAGATAGATAGATAGATAGATATTTAATAGTATATGGAATATTTATCTAATGAAAATAAATTAGCTTGGATTATGAAACTTCATAAATATATTTTACTGGTAATCAAAGTATAATAATTATCATGAATTTCAATTTTAAATTTTGTACAGTCAGTGAAACCAGTATTACCATACAGTACAAAGTGACATGTACATTGCATGATTTAAATTAGATTGAGATTTATAATGAAACAAATGTTACAATAACAGCTCACTGTTCTTGCTGCAGACTTAGATTGACTCATTAATCTTGATAATAATAAGGAAAGAAGTCTGTCCAACTGACAGCATTAATTGTGAAAGTCTACATTAGGTACATATCTTCCTTCCCAACTTTTCCTGTGAAGGTCATAAAAAATGATGCTGGCAAGATACTTTGTCTTTTTCCAATGATTGTTGATGCCTTTGAGCAGAACTAGGTTTAAAGGGCAGGTGGCCTGCAAAAGCATTTTTGTTCTGTTTGACATATGAGAACGTAACTGCAAATACATTATAAAACCAGACTCTGCAACCCAAAATAAATTATTATAAAACCATTTTGCAATGTGAAATTGAGGCTGTCAGAAAACTGCTCTACAGTAATAATGTACTAATACAAGATTTTGATTCGTAACAGCACATATGTTTGTAGTTTATTCCAAGAAAAAAAAAATGTGAAAACATTGCTCCAATCCAACATTCAGCCGAAACGAAAAGAGAAAATCTGCATGCAAATGAATTCTGCAGTTCTCTTTCATATAGCAGACTGAGAAGCAGTTTATGCAGAGACGCAGTCAACATACCAGCTTTCTGGAACAAAAGAAGACAAACATAGATTTGGATTCTCTCCAGAAACAGAAGAGTATTGCTAACTGGGGTTGCATGCACATAGCTCTTGTTCTTGGGCAGACTTGAGAACCAGCTGTACAGCAGCTGTTTGCATATGGTTCTGCTTTCACATATTTGGCTCATTATATGTAACATTACAAGTCTAGATAGAAAATAATGTAGGAGAAATTCATTGTGGACTAATGAAGATCCTTGTTTTTCTTATTATTGAACTAGCTGTAAATATGAATGGTTGCGGACAAGATATCTAACTATATATTGTTAAATAGAGTTACAGTTAGAATTGAAAGGACAATGCCAATGAGATTCTAAAACATTGTTTCTTGGTATGTGCTCACAATGCTTGATGAACAAACCATTTCTGAATTTCATTGGTATGTGCTCAGATACTCTATTAATATATTAACATCCATGAAATGCAATCACTATGAAATTTTAAGTTTACTTTATTTAAAATGTATCTTGTTATTAAAAGTTATTACAAAGACAAGGGGGATCATGTTTCTGTTTTTTTTTTTAAGGAATCCTGTATAAAGGCAATGGGGAAAATCAGTTTATCTCTCAGCAACCACCTGTTGTTAGTAGTATAATGGGTAATGGCCGACGGCGCAGCATTTCTTGCCCAAGTTGCAATGGTCAAGCAGATGGCAATAAACTCTTGGCTCCAGTTGCCCTAGCTTGTGGAATTGATGGAAGCCTGTATGTAGGAGATTTCAACTATGTTCGACGGATATTCCCATCTGGAAATGTAACAAGTGTACTTGAACTAAGGTATATTTTCCCCTAATTTCCCCCTAAGTTTTAGAATGCAGTTGTGATGATTCAGTAGTGTCTCCTTATCCATAAATATAAAAATACAAATGGTATCAAAATAATATTTTACTCACACAGCTTGAAAACCATTTAATATATCATTACCATTCAGGTGGCCATGCCAATGAAGCCATTATATATCATGACTACAGTGTTTGACTACTACTAGGAGTACTAAGTTTGAGTCTTTTTTCAGCCATAAAAATTCACTGGGTGATTTTGAGTCAGTATTTCTCTTTCAGCCTAAATGATTTCACAGGTTGGTTGTTGTGGGGGGAAATTGGAGGATGGAGCATTCTCTATGCCACCTGGAGGCCCCAGAAAAAAGGCAGGATATCAATCTAACATCTAACTAATAAATTAATACATAAAATTAAGGCTAAATTCTTACTAGCAACCTTTACCAATTTTTTTCTTCTTTTAACTTTTTCCTTCTAATACTGTTCTTTTTGCTCTTCCTTCTTTTGCCTACCCACCAAGAAATAAAGATTTTAGACATAGGTAAGCATTTTAAGCATGTTCATACATTTTGTTGAGGCTATTATTGGCTTTAAATGAGTAAATAAGGTACTACAAAAACTACTAAAACATTATTTGAATAAAATAATAGTAAAACTATTCTGAGATAAATCTTACTAAGTATAAGGTAAAAACTTGCTACTGTTCATTATTAATCATATTATTTTCCCATCCCAGTTTAACATGTTGCATTTTAAAGTCTGACTCTGGGTAAATGTAATGTTTAAAACAAAACAGTGCTTCATTATCTTTATATATTTCTGATCTGTTTTTAAGGTATTGGCTATGTTTTATTTCAATGATTCGCTATCTTCATTCTGCTACACCCATCACCCACCTCATTGTCTTTTGGGCATCCTCAATATCATTGACAGAGACTTCCATGCTGCCTTTTTATATGGAATCCATTTACACACACATTTGACTGCTGGGTATCAAGGCTTGCAGTTATCCAGATAACATAGTTGAGCATTGTATACATGTGTACAAATATGTCTGGGTTTCAACAGAATAGATCAGAGAATGTTTTAGCGCTGTGATGGAAAATCTGATTTACAAAATTTAATCTCTGGCGTCTCAAATGTGTCTAAAGCTCTTAACATTGGAATGCAATGGAATTGGGAACAGGAAGAAGAACATAACAGAATACTTTATTTGGCCAAGTGTGATTAGACCCACAAGGAATTTGTCTCCAGTGCAGAAGATATTGGAGAGAATCTACATTTCTGTTCATAATATTTTAAAAAGTTAGAATTAAAATAGTTCGAATCCCACTTTCTTTATGATGTGTTTTAATGATATTTATAAGTTTTCAATTTCTCCAACCATAAAATGCTATAAAAGGTAGCTTCCATATATATATGTATGTATATATGTGTATGTATGTATGTGTGTATATGTATATGTACATATACGTATGTATATATGTATGTATACATACATACATACATACATACATACATACATACATACATACATACATACATACATACATACATAC